TTAGGTGACTGGCAACTTTAGTTGAGCAGGGTGAGACCTGGTATTCAGGTGGTGCAAATACCTTATGTACCCTTTCCTACCTGCACTGCCCAAAATGCTGCTTGCCTGCCTATCCATTGCAGTAGACTACATAGCTCTTTATTCCTTTAATTCTTATTTTCATTAGAGTTCTGAAATTATTAGTAATATAAGAATGTTAATATAATTGAGATTTATTATTCTTACTGCCTCATTAAGGAAATTATTGCTTGTTTTAGAGATAGGAGCTTATTGTCACCCTTCTGAATTATTGAGGATTCATTCATCTTTCACTTGGATCCTGAGAGTCTATTATGTATGTGTATCTGAAAGTCAACAGTATTAATCATTAATGCCTAATGCCTTGTGTTGGAGTGTCCTTGGACATGCTAAATGACTCAGCCTCACCATGATACCCTTGAGATTTCTTCAGTGGAAATTAAATGAGCAGAAACTAGAGGAAGATTATTTAATGAGCAGTTAGCATTCTCAGAAGTTTGAAAAAATATAATCACAAGAAGCCTCCAAAGACTAAAATCATATCAGTAGAAACTAAATCGTGATGGAGTATGTTACTAACATAGTACTCAATCTATTTATTGCCTATGACTACGCAAAAGGTAGGGGAGAAGAGGGAATCCCCTTCAGTAGGACTGCTCAAAGACTGCTGCTCCATGTGATTGCCATCAGTGTCTGTGCTGGGTGGCTGCTGATACTTCTGAAGCAGGCTCTAGGTTTCATTAACAGTGAAATGGAAAATATCTCTTTACTTCCTTAGGCACCTTCCCCACACCCCCTAGATAACTAAAAGGGGAAGGACATCTCTGTTGGATAACTGAATTTCCACCTGCTGTACAGAAGTGGATTACTGGGGGTGGAGAGTCCTGAAGGTTGATCTTGCACTGCTGATCTGCCAGCCAGTTGTCAGGGAGCCACTGGGAGCTTTGGCCCTGGCATGGCACTACCACCTCAGAGGGGAAGATCACTAAGAGGCAGGTTATGTCTCTCTAACTGGTACAAAACCAACCTGCCCTTTGTTTGAGACAAATATTTGGTGCTTGGTGACTCTGGGTTAGGCATTCAAGATAAAAGGGACTTTGTACTGGAACGTGATAGCCTCACTTCCTCATCAGGAAGGCTGACTGGTTTGCTTCCATTATTCTGTATGTAAAACAGATTTGTAAAGCTGAATGAAGATGCTTTTCTATCTAATGAAATAGCTAATGTAACTGAAGAAATAAAATGCTTCTTAATATTAGGAAGGTCAGAATCTGGTGATGGAGAGTGCAGGTAATGATGGTTGAGGTTGTTCTTAACTGAAAAGAAAAACAGGTTGAGGCTGATCTCTGATGCTTTTCTTGATACAGGATGACAGCATGTGCAGTGACAATGAAAAAGTATGTGGAGGAGAATGTTTCCCAGAATTCTTATACCACAATAAAATATTTCATGAAGATGCTAAGCAGCATCAGTGAGACCCTGATTTTTGTGTTCATGGGAGTTTCTACAGTGGGAAAAAACCACGAGTGGAACTGGGCCTTCATTTGCTTCACTCTGCTCTTCTGCCTCATTTGGCGGACACTGAGTAAGTCAGCTTTTTCAGAAAACCTTCTCCACACCTCAGAGAGAAAACTTTTGGTGCAAAGGTATGCTAGAAAAGTCTGTGTAGACTGGCACAACTGGTTTATCTTGCTGACAAGCAAGTTTCACAAATCTACACATGAAGAAAAAGGGAGGAAAAGCCCCAGAAAAATGTGAATGCCAGTGTCCAAACACAGACTTCATGGTTAGGTGAGAATGGAATATTTTAAGCAAAACAAAATATTATCGTGATTAGGCTTATAGAGATGCTTATATCTTAGTTAGCCTTTGGTAAGTGGGCCTCCTAATGATTTCATCACACACTGTCATTAACTAATTAGTTAATGTATATCATCACACTTCTAGTGCTATAACACTACAAGTCCTGGGCCACTAGTGATGGAGACATAGAAAAAGAGGAAAGGTGAAAATTAGCACTGATAGATAACTGAACAGGGACTTATACCACATGTAGGTCAACCACACTATACTACTGCTCCTCATAAGTCAACTCTGAAGTTTTAAACTGCTAGAAAATAGTGCCTGTATGAAATTACTGCATTTTACACATGGTATCTCCCACTCCTGCAAAGGTGTCCTAGTCCCTGATCTGTGAGACTGGAATTCCTGCAGCACGGGCAGGACAGTTTATAGATAATTTCACATGAGTTGTGCGACACAGGTGCTCATCTTCTCCTAATGTCCAGGATGGGTTGAAAGCTATGTTGAAAAAGGAGAAGCAATAGGAAGGCTGATGGTTGGTGTTCTGGAGATGGTAGCAGTCCTGGTACACCTCTACCAAGAGCTGCTCTTGAGCCTGTGAGTGAATTTACTGCAACTGTGGAAGCAGAGAGGCAACACATTGCCATCTTCTCCCTCATCTACAAGTACTGTTCTGCCAAGCTTTCTAGATGACATAAGAAAAGAAGGAATGACCTACTGGGTCAGACCAACCATCTACTGATGTCTTCAATGGATCCTGCAGGAGATGATGATTAGGAGATGTTTACAAGACTTGCCATTTTCTGAGCTTTGTTCATCTCCTACTTCTCCAGGATCCTAGAGACTCTGTGATAGAGGTGTGAGAGGGTACGCTCCCTGCCCGTGCTACACAGAGGTCTCTTTTTGATTGGTAGCCTATGAGATTATGACTTCCATTTTTTATAGCCTTAATACTCTATTCTCACAGAATTTCACAGAATATTCAAAGTTAGAAGAGGCCCACCAGGATCATCCAGTCCAACTCTTATGTGGATGGCCCATGCAGGGATTGAACCCACAACCTTGGTGCTATTAGCACCATGCTCGAACCAATTTAGCTAATCTGATTGGCTGCACCAGGTTAAGTTACAACTGCTGCAACAGAAAGTAAACACATTTACTCCTGGAGAGGTGATGAATTATGGAACACACCCTACTCAGCCACTGTTATTTGCCACTAGTTAAAAATATGAGTGAACAATGTTTTTGAAATTAAAGATATTTTGGAAGTATAACACATGACAGGGCCAAAAACACAATTAGGTAGGCGACCTTATTTCTGACATTTTTTAACTTCTGAGTGCCTGAATTTTCCACCTTAAGAGCATTCTTTTTGAATTTCAGTATTTAATTTTTTTTCAGAGTAGTTTATAATTTTAAAGAAAATGAGAAATCCAGCCTCGGAGGAGATATTCTGAGAACTGAAATTAGGCTAACTACCTTGGCTAAGTTAGTAGGTTGGTTCCCCCATGGTTCATTTGTAATCAAAGGAGTACCCTCTAGAGCATCCAGTGGGGCAGGAATCTACACTGATCACCTGCCACCACCTCCTTCAGCCATCTGCCCCATCTGTATTCCCTTTACAGTCGGAGCTAGTGGCTAATGGCATCCATTGGGGAGATGAGGTCAGGTTTTTTTTTAAAGTCTTCCTTAATGACCTGGATGAAGGAACAGAGTGCACACCAAGTGACTTTGTGGCTGACAGAAAACTGCAGGAAGTAGTCAATATTCTGGATGGCATCCATTCAAAGTGCCCTTTCCAGCCTACAGCACTCTGATTCAAACATCTGGGACCAGATATATCAAACATCTGAGATTAAGGTGCTGTTTCTTAAATCTCTCAGGTGGTTTATCCCTCAGTCAAAAAGAATGTCAGAGCAGGAAGAAGATGATCATTTGAACCTCAAAGCCCATACACATTTCAAGACCTTTGATTTTTAAGTTTGGGAGCCCTGGAGAAAGATATTTAACAGCGGGAAAAGAGAAAAGAGGAAACCTGTGCAGGTTCAAGTATGTCCCTCTGAACAACTCTATTATATATGGGGAAGACATAAATACTCAACAGTTAGAGATATGATTCTTGTGAGTTGACAGCAAAAAGAAAGTAAATACATATTTTCTTGCTATTTCTGCACCAAGCATGGCCTCTAAGTTTTTCAAGGCTTGCTTTCCGAGTCCATTTTGAAATATCATTCCAATCAAGACAGAAACAGTGTTTTCCTGATATAAAAGGTATTTTCCTGCCACATGTCCATCCTTCTTTCAGACACCAAGGGGAGTGCTAGAGCTTTCTAGAGGAAGGCCAAAATATTTTCTGCTAAACTTGTACGTTAAAATGATTACATAATTTTTTCTGAAGCTTGAATAAAGAGAGCTGGCCTGAGAGTGATATCTCACATATGCAGTTTCAGTCTGAGTTCCTGATGTCTAGCATAGTTATAAATAGCCAAAAAAGATCTTGCATAAAGTGGTATCTAGCAAGCTACATAACAGGATACTGCTGCTGTCTTTACCGCTAATAATCTGAGTTTATCAGTGACAGCTGTGTAAAATAACACCAGCAATTACCAGCACTTGTCAGCTTTTACGTTAGTAATTTACCAGTTTCCACACAAAACATAGGATACACGTTTTTTTTGGAAGACAATGAAGACTGAGAGTAAATCAAGCAGATTGCTGGAAGTACTCTATAAAGAAAAGTTGCAATCCTTACACTGTCTTACTGGTTTCCATTTTTATTACACAGAGTCCTAGAAACACAATAAGCCAGAGGACTAAAAATTAAAATGCTATTACTCTTTGCCTTTTAGTGAACCTGTCCACAGGACTTGTTGGTAAAGCACTGTTGAAACACTTTGGACAGACACTGTGCAGAAAGCAGGAAATACTGCAAGGGAAGGTGCAGGAAAAACTCTCATCCAGTCATTTTTCTTTTCTCCAGAACACTTTGGAAAAAACTATGCAACATACATATAGAAAATAAATCTTTCTACCTAATGTCACTACTAAACTGTGTAAATGAATTTAAATCCTGAAGCAGTTATGAATCACTATCTTTTAAATGAGGTTATTTCACATAAACCAGATCCAGCAGTTTGTCAGAGAAACCACAAAAAGTCCAAACTGAAAAAAATGGGCTGCCAACAATTCCCTGAGCCAAGACATTTTGCCTTTAATATTTTCATTTTCTCCTTGATCAATAATAATAGTTGTGGGGGTTTTCCCTTCCTAGGTGTATTTGCTCTCTTCTACATCAGTAACAAGTTCCGAACATATCCCTTTACTGTCAAAGACCAGCTCATTATTTCCTACAGTGGCCTTCGAGGAGCCAGCAGCTTCTCTCTTGCATTCTTGCTTCCAGTGAATCTCTTCCCCAGAAGAAACCTCTTCATCACTGCTACTCTTGTAGTTATATATTTCACTGTGTTTATCCAAGTAAGTATATTTCTTAATGGATTGCTTTCATGTAATAGAGGTGTCTGAAAGCCTCATAGTGAAAATTGCATTGAATTTACTCAGACTAGGACAAACTATTGCATTTTTTGGCCAGATTTAGCACTTCAATGTGTAATTACCCTTTCAGTAAATTTTAGGTATTACAGAAAGCCTGTATTGAAAAAATGTATCTTCTAAAATATTCAGAGGAAAGGGCACTGTGTGTTCAAAGTTATGTTCACTCCATATGCATTTCCTGATGCTTCCAATGTAAGAAGTATTTTAACTTCACACCAAATCATTCTTTACTAGTGATGTATCCCAAAGTGACCAGAGGGATTTTGAATTTTATATTTTGCATATATTTTTTTCTTTTATCTCCATCCATCTTGTAGATCAAATAAGAATATTTTGAAATCCTTTGCAAAAGAATATTAAGGAAAAATAAAGTGAATAATTCATATTTGCAAGTATAGGTGTGTACTTTAGATATTTGGGTTATTCCACCTGGCTTACACTGCTGTACCTGGAAGAACTGAATTTTCTAGAGGTCTTGCATCCCATGTTCTGTATTTTCCAATACCAAGATCTCAGATACTATAGGGTGCCAATGGGGCACTATGCACGTGTGATAGGTAAAGCACTTAGACTTCACCAGAATGTTTTGGTGGAAAAAAATAAATCCATTCTATTTCCCCTTTTAAAATGCTATTCTGCATCAGTACAGTAAAGAATTGGGAACAACTGAAAACTGTTTCTAAGTGAACCCCCCCCCCCCAGGATATTAATTCTAAAAATGTTAAAATAAACAACTTCAATATTGCAAGACCTTGCAAAGATAATGTTTTCTTTCAAATGAGTCCTATTTTGAAAAAAATTGGCAATGAGTCAGTTACTTTACATATTTAGAATATGCCAACAAATATAATCTTGCTTAAAAAAAACCCTGGTGTACAATTTTTTTTTAAGTTTTTGATTTTAATTCTCTTCTGTAGCTCTCCATGCAAATAATACTTCATTTGTGTATCTCAGACACAGCTTTCCTAATTTATTAATATTAAACAATTTTGCTTTCTTTCTCTTTTTTCCTGAAAGATAATTAATAATTCAACTCATTGTTCCAAATGCAGGGAATCACAATTGGACCATTGGTCAGATACCTGGATGTCAAAAAGACAAACAAAAAGGAATCTATCAATGAAGAAATACACGTGAGAGTAAGTTTTTTATATCAGTAGCTGGTATCCCAAAAAGAAGAGAAAGGGTGGATAGAGGGAGGCACCTGGAAGCACTGGCATTCAGTGGATTTGGACACTCAATGCTTTTAAGAATATATGGAAGAAGTACTAGACATAATTTTCTGGAATATGATATCTCATTTATATTCATAGTGACTATCATATTAAAAGATCAAGTCACAAATGTCATGGTGTAGCAAGTCCCTTACTTCTTGGTACTGGTGACCATGGGAGGACAGAAACAGAAAGGTAATGTTTACAAGATGAACTCACCATCCTTCCTAGCCAGATTTGTCAGATATATTTGTTGCCATCTTTTGACTGTTCCTAGACAGACTGACACCTCCAAAGTCTTTAATCAAGTTTTATTGAACTAAAATGAGTTGAACCATTGGACTTCAAATTTAGTTTCCAGTTATTCTGAGTCATGATCTTTTCCCTCTCAAACATTTACTTTAGTTCTCAAATTACCATAATAACAAATAACAGAAAGCTGCTCAAACTGACTTGACAATGTTATAGAAAAGGTATATACATTCTTTCATTTTCACATTAGGGAATAAATTTGAAATTAATGGAAACACTGCCTTAAAATGAAGCATATGCAGAGACATTAGCAAAATTGGAGCATTTCAACTGATTTGAATTTAATTGTTACTATTTCAACCTTTACATTTAACCTTGAAAAGAATTTACATTTAAAAGCACCACTTACAACAAACTGTCTGTAAGAACTGGCCTTTTTCTATCTGTCTCTGTAATGCTACTAATACACAAAAAATTACTGAAAAACATTGTAGTTAGAAGTGATAAACTTTCCAGCCTCATAACAATCTCAAAAATCCTCAGAGAACTTGTCAGTCAAGGCAAAGGTTTTGGGTACCTGGTACTGTGTCCCTCTCAGAGAGAACACACATGCAGAAGGGAAGCTTGGTGGACAGAACCAAGAATTTAGTTTTTGGGCTCAGCAAGCAAAAAGGAGCAGGAGATTTGTTGCCTCCATCAAAATATTGCCACTGTAGCCGAACATAGGAGCTGACACAGTGGGATCTTTGCCTTGATATTTAGAGAAATGTAGTTGCTTTCAGAAATAACTCAGACGCTGCAATAAAAAACCAAAACCAAACAAACAAAAAAAAAACAACAACAAAAAAACCTCAAAATTCTGTCATCAAGTGTATATTTGTTTTTTCATAGTGGCCACTTAAAATTTTTCCATGTTTTTTTCTCTAGTTGATGGATCACTTGAAGGCTGGTATTGAAGACATATGTGGACATTGGAGTCATTATCAGCTGAGAGATAAGTAAGTACCTCTTATTGCACCCTAATATAATAAAATAACCTATCTATCATGTAAAATACAATAGGTAAATAGAACAGGAAATCAAAATGCTGGGGACATGTGCAATATCTCTTTTTAAAAATTGAACTCCTGAGTAACCCTTGCCTTTTAGGAGCGCAGTGCTCATATTGTGCCCTTTACCCTAAGGTGCCCTTAAGAGAACTCTGTGATCATGTTGACCACCACCAAAAAGTGTGAAGGGAAGTAGGGGACAGACTAATCTTCCTTTCCCTCAAACATCTTATTATGATTCTTTGGGCTAAAAATTACCCCTAGTTATTCTAGCTATGCCTAGATTTCTGTGCTCTAATCCTGTCTGACCTTTCAGCATTGGACCCCAGTGATCCAGCCGGGGTTTCTGCTGTGACATGCGGCAACTCCTTTCCTGACTGGGTTTCTCCCCATGGAAATCAGGAATTAAGAGTGGGAAGAAGATGGCTGTTATGATTCCAGTTCTTGTCCTAGTGGAGAATAATGATGTAATGTACTAGGGCACATCCGGAAGCTAAAATGTCTTCTTGGCTCTGACAGTACAGAAATAGCTTTAGGACACCCATCTGCTGGGACCACACCACTGTCTGTACAGACAATCATCTGAACAATTCCCCATTGGAGCAGTCTTTTCACTGATATAGCTGCATTGATACATATGTTCGAGTAAATGCTATCCCTTTGTCTCACATCTACCTGATAGCTCTGAAAAGAGAATTTTGCACATATTAGCCATAAATGTAGTGTTTTGCTTTAGGGACAGATTCCAAAAACACACTGTGTCTGAAGACACTTAATGTAAGAAGATTGTATTAGAGGTATTCCCTAAACTTTTCTATGCAGCTTTAAAGATGTGTATCAGAATTAATTCCCTCAGCGATGACAATCCAGGAGATTTTCTGTTACACAGAAAAACATAAAGAAATCTAATCCCAGTGGAAACGTTTGTGTACCTACCTCTGCTATTAAAGAATAAAAAAATAGCCTTTGTTAAGAAAAAAAGATACAATTTCTGTATTGCTTTTCCTAGCATTGTAGAGCACATTACCTTGCTGTGATAAACTATTCCTTTGAAAGAAACAGAACAGTTGCTCTGCTAAAGATTCACTGTTGTTCTGCTAAATGTCTGCCTGAAAGCACATACCTGTTCCAAGGCACACGCACGCATTCACATTCAAATTATGCCACACGTTAGTGATATTTTACAATCTGCAGCATGCAAGCACATAGTATTTTGGGGTCCATTCAATGTCTCTGTTATTCAGAATACAAAGAAATGTATTTTCTTTGCTCTAATTGTCAGGATTCAAAATTATCAGCAACATAATGGGCCCAAACTACTGTAACTGCTGGGCCATTTAGAGCCTCATTGGTGGCTGGCTGAATAGACCAGGATTACTGTAAGAGCAGCTGCTGCTGTTATGCCCTGCTATAATACAACATTAGTACAAAAGCGTGGAGACTGGCCATATTCTTTTCTGACAAATGTGGTGGTGTTATATTCAAACACACACACAGCCCTCTTTTTTGCTCTGATTGCAGCTTGTTTCTTTCTTTTGTCTCGTGGGCTCTGAAATCTCTGTGGACCAGTAGACTATGCCAAATGTCCCCCTAAAGGTCTCTGCTCACTAGGCCTCCAGGAGCCTCCACAGGTGCCTCTAATTTGGATTTAGTTTGCACCATCAAATTACATGTATGTGCATTTGAATGAAGATCAGCTTGTACTGC